CCTTTCAAGCCCTAGGGCATGTAAAACAAATGCTGCTGTTACAGATTTTCAAAGTTCCCTGTGGACATCACTCTCAACACCATGGTGCTGGATGTGAAGAATGATGGAGGGAATGCTTACGAGATACCTTGATCCATTATTTTGAGTTAATATCCATATGTGTGTAAATATTGTTTTGGGAAGACTCGTATGATTTAAAGATGGGATTATGATTTATTTGGAATTGTGAGTGGTGTGGTGAAGAGGTGGAGCTCTTACCTTACAATCAGGAGGCTATGAATTCGAGCCTAGGTAACCTAGTTTGAGCTCCTGGGTGCAAAGAGAAAATATCTGCTGTGAGTTCCGCATAGGCATCAGGAAGGGCATCTATCCAGTAAATGCTCAGCTCCATTCAGTTGCCCCGATTCTGTCCTGATGCAAGGGATCACAGGGTTGTTAAAAGAAAAAAAAAGATTTATTTTGAATTAGATGAAGGACCATGGATTTACCAAGCACTATTCTTTTACAATGGAAACATGGGTGTTAGTAGGTCATCAGTGGAATTCTTTGGGAATCAGTTTCTACAAATTTCAATACAGTCCAGAGCATGATCTGGTATAAGCCAGTCAGTGATATCTTTAGCTGACTCAAGATGGTACAAAGAAAATGCCTTGGTTCTGAGCCTCTTCACCCCACACCAAGTCCTGGAGTAAAACATAAAAATGCCATGCAAAATAGAAATAGAATATAGTAAGAGTGGCTACTCCATCTATATTGGTATGAGAGGAAACTGTGAATGAAAGTTGTTTGTATACTTCCAAACCACCCTGCCACTACTCTTTTGCATTTAAAAGCCTGTAGAAGTGAACTGCTGGCATTTTAGTAGGGGAGAAAGAATCCAGCTCTGTGGGAGACTTGAGCCAGATGTTCCCTTCAGCAGGGAAAAAGATTACCCATAAACTTTACAGAGCCACAGTTTTGCAAAGAAAACACCAGATTTGCTTTAGATAATTACACTCTCTAAGCGGTTTACAGAGCATATTGCCCTGACGAATCTGGATCCTCAGTGGTCTTCTGGGTGCGATTCAAGGTGTTGGTCACCACCTTTAAAGCGCTCCATGGCATAGGATCCCGGTACCTTCGAGACCGACTTCTGCCACCAATAGCCTCCCACCAGCCAGTTCGCTCCCACAGAGAGGGTCTCCTCAGGGTGCCATCGGCCAAGTTATGTCGGCTGGCGACACCCAGGGGGAGGGCCTTCTCTGTGGGAGCCCCAGCCCTGTGGAATGAACTGCCACCGGAAATGCGTAAGATCTCCGACCTCCGGGTGTTTCGCTGTGCACTCAAGACCCTGTTGTTCCGCCAGGCCGGGCTATTAACATAATAATTTTAAATTGGGTGTTTTAAATTTCTGGGGTTTTAAATTGAGCCAAATTATTTAATAATTTTAAATAATTTTAATTGATGTTTGTCTTGTGCTTTTAATAGGCTGTACACTGCCCTGAGTCCTTCAGGAGAAGGGTGGTATAGAAATAAAATAATAATAATAACAACAACAACAACAACAACAACAACAACAACAACAACAATAATAATAATAATTACCTACCTTGGAAAGATGGAAGGCTGAGTCAACTTTAAGCCAGTCAGGATCAAACTCCTGGCAATGAGCAGAATCAGCCTGCAATACTGCATTCTAAACACTGCACCACCACGGCTCATTTTATGCCTACCTTGTTTTTTTAGGAAGACCCTTCCCTTTACCCTCCGCCAAGAATTTGGCCTCTGGTTGAAACAAATTCCAGATCAAGCTGGAGACTCAGAATTTTTTTAAATGAGGGTGGGAAAGGAAAAGTATACTTTTCATAGTAGGCACTATGTTGGGAAGATCCGAAGGGAATAGTTGGAGCTTGGACTTCCATATGATTAAATATTGTGGCAAGCTTCCCTTCCTCTCAGGAATTCTCAATCCACCTATTTCTTTCTGAACTACCTTTAATACATTATTCCCTGGGTGCTATTACATCTTGATATATCATAAAACTAATGGGGTCTAGAGAATATTACATTTTTACCGTGCGGTGGAGAGGGACAAGTTTTGACAAATTGATCCAGCTAAAATAGTTTTCCGCCTGGTGTGTAAACTCCATTTAGGTGGCATGTGCTTTACCATCTTCAATGAGACACAGGCCTTCCAGGTGGATGGCACCTAGCATTAGTCAGAACACATTGCGTGCGCTGGCCATCTTTCTATCTTTCGCAGTTTTTATGTGGCAAGAAAAAAATATATTGAAGAAAAAGTAAACACAAAGGGGGAGGGAGGTCACAAATGGAAAATGTCTTTATCTGAATCTCGCCATCAAATTTGTTGAAAGAAGCAGGATGATAGCATGAGAAATACGGTTATCTTGAAGCACTTAGATATTACATTTTAGAGGGGTGTGGATGCTGTTTTTCCTTTATTCAGAAATCTGTGGAAACCCAAAACACACTCATACATACATACATACATACATACATACATACATACATACGTACATCATCTGAATGCTGCCTATATTTTGGGATTAAACCTGCAAAAATGAGGCATACAGCTCTGGTTTCTAATATTTGTGCATGCAGTGATGCCTTTAGGCCTGGGCAAATCTGGTAATTGCCTGGATCAAATTTCTTATTTATTCAATAAATTAAAAAAGAAATCTACAGGGAAGATTACTCATTGTGTTTCCTTATCCAGGCAACCTGCTGCACCAGTATGCTTGCAAAATGATGTTTGAGACCCCTGATTTTTAACAGGTAGACTTTTCATTTTTGTGTTCAGATGGCATTGTGTCATTATTAGTCTGGAGAAACAAGGAAGAAAGTTAAAGCTAACAAGAAAATCTGAGAGACAATCTACACTATGACTTTGACAAATTTATTGATAGCAATTGTGCTCAAAAGTGGGGAAACAGCTCTGATGCTTTTTCCAAAGTTGATGGCCTTGCAGGTGCAACCATGATAGCTTTGGTGAAGACTCCAAAAACGCTAAGGTCATCATAATGCCCCTTTAGATTTCCCCACATTTGGAGATTGTCGGTCAGGGGTGAAATCTACTTACCTTCCCTAACGGTTTGGAAGTGCATGTGCTGCGCACGTGCACACATGGACCCTCTACGCATGCGTAGAGGGTAAAAAACAGGTTACTTCCTGGTTAAAACCAGAAAGTAACGATGACCGGGAGGGTAGGCAGAGCCTCGCACTGCTGTCGCTACCGGTTCTCCGAACCACCTGTCGCCATCGCTACCGGTTTAGTCGAACCGGTCTGAACCGGTAGCATTTCACACCTGCTGTCAGCCCTATAGAGTAGACTGGGGTACAAACCAAATGCCCTATAGGTCTAAAACTCTTATCTGATCCTGGCCTTGGTAACAAATCATTCTGCTTTAGGGCCATTCCTTCTCCTTCTACAGGAACTGGTGGGAACTCTGATAAGATACAGTTCATTCCACTCCAGGCTTCAAATGTTATATTTTATACGGTTTCTTAATGCCTTTCCATCTATTCTTATTAATGTATAAGCTGCGCTGTATTCAGTGGGCATTATTCATGGCAAAGTGTACACAGGATTGCCTGCACACATCACATCTATGTGATTTCCTGCCAGCCCACTCAACCCCAACAATTTACCAGAGGCCTGTTTCTTAATTCTATTTTAGAAATAAGCTGTCAAATGCCTGACAACCTGATTATTTTTCTGGGATACTAAACTGTTCTCTTCACTCCAATTTATAGAAGCGTAGCTGGAGAGGTCACTATTTATGTTGACAAGTTAGCATGAATGTTAGGAAAGCAAATGCCACTAATCAGTGCAGGCTTTCAGAATTCACCTTGTCAATGAGTGTTTTTCTGTTCTAATAATTAATGGAACATTTATTCTTGGCTTAGATTCAGCAAAATAATAACATTTTAAGAAGTCACATGGTAGCAGTGTCCTGCAAAACCAATTCCACCTGTTTTTATTTATTGTATTTAATACATTTGCATATTATTACTTATTCTGTTAGACTTCAAAGAAGTATACAAAGCCAAGAAATGATTAAATTAAAACTCAGAGATAAAAAGGATGATATGCTTAATCTGTTCAGGAAAGGGTCTAGTAGTTGCATACACATAACGTGCTAAAGTTGGTTAGTTTTGGGGTGACTTCATATATGGGGTAAACCCAGGCTATTTGATTGAATAAATAGAACCCATATAATGGATTAGTTTCAAGCATATTTCTGTGAATGCGTCCAAAGTATAATAAATACAACTTCAACATAGACTAATCACATACATTTAATGCTGGCATAAGCAAAGCTGTTTGGGCATTATTCTCAGTAGTAAAACATCACCTTAATATATATAAACAAAGGCTCAGGTAAGTTCCTGTGCATATTCACTAGATGAATATCTGGAGATTCTCTGCTATAAAAGGAAGCTTCCTGAATGGGAGAAGGCGCCATAATGAAAAGATCTTACCTTGAATGGAATAGTCATTTAAGCTTTGGCCAATGATTGTCAAGTTTGGATTTATGGAGTTGGGAGGACAGGCATTTTTAAACTCAAGCCATTTGGTCTCAAGCCATTTGGGGCTTTAAATAGGAGTCTCAATACCTTGACTTAGAAGTGGGAAAAGAACCATAAATTTCTTTCAGCACTGGTGGTATTGGAACAAAGACAGAGATGCCAGCCAGAAGGCTAACTAATGAATTGCTACCAAGTGGAATTTTGGAGTCATTTTCAGTCCTACATTTAGGGCTGTGTGTTAACATTGTGCCAAGAATTTAATTTGCAATTTTTCAGCTATTCTCAATTTGAGAGGGAGAGTGAAAAAGAGGGTTTTTGTTTTCTCCATTGATTCATCTATCTACATACATACATACATACATACATACATACATACATACATACATACACACACACACACACATACACACACACACACACAGAGAGAGAGAGAGAGAGAGAGAGAGAGAGAGAGAGAGAGAAATTATCCTTTATCCTAGGTTCTTTGCCATGACTGTGTTGAAGTACTCTCTCAGATCTTTGAATCAGCAGAAAAATACCTCATTGTCATTGATCCTTATCCTGATGATCCTTATTCTTCCATGGATGTCCTAGCCTGTTAAGGATATTATTGAGCTACACCCAAAGTTGTGGCTTATAAAGCAGAGTACCGTTAGAGTTTTACGCACGGAAACGGTTTTGAGAGTAATTGTGAATAATATACCGACAAATTGGGTTTTATAGCATGTTACTTTTAGGGAAAAGCAAAATCATAGTCCTTTAACAATTCAAGTCTTAGCCATATAAAGTGCAATATAAGATCAATCCAGGGATATAAAATCTTCTTACCAGTTTGTAGAAAAATACAAGGAACAATCAGGAACAATATAAAAACAGTTCAATAAATATAAGAAAGCAGTAATCATGATCAAGCAGTTGACCATAGAGAGATCAAAAAGAGTTACAGCGTAGTAGCAGGTAAAAAAAAAAGGTGTAATGTTCTCAACTAACCATACTTTAGCTCTCCTTAAATACATTGGCTACAGAGCTCAGCCAATCAGGATGCAGAATGACTCAGCACAGTTCTTAAAACTACATAATACATTCACATAATACAAACATACAATGTTGGCTTATATATTTCCTGGCCAACCAATTAGGCAATAACCATTTCCTAACATAGCCAGTGGAAAAACATCAACCAATCAGTTTTCTTAACTTGGAGCGGGGCTAAGGAGGAGGTAAGTTTTGACATTCAACTAGACCAGTGGGTTTAACATCCTGTCAAATCTTGTTCTAGTGCTGAAGTGGTTCGGGAATAACGAGAGACACAACCAAGCAAGTGACAACAGCTCTTTAATTTACAGTGAGACTTCAGCAAAAACTCAGAGGCTGCAGCCCTCCTTATATACAATCCTGGAGGGACTGTCAGCCAATCAGAAATGTAGGCAGGTTTGAAACTCCCGCTCAAAAGTATCAATACATAACACCCCTCCCTTCCCAGAAGGCACTGTCATTCAAAAATTTACATAAGTACACACAAAATCTCGCAGGTGCCCAGGGCGAGTTCTCGTCCTAGTTGACCTGCGCAGTTCAGTGTTTGGTGGGGCGTCGAGCTGGTCGGAGGGACTTTCTGTCTCTCCCGGCTCCGCCAATGGAACCTCCTGGATTTTGTCCGGGGCGTGGTTATCCCCGGTTGGGAGTGGCGACTTGCTGGGGCGGCGCTGGAACCAGGGCTTGTCAGCTAAGTATTCTCGCGAACCCGGGCTTGAGTTAGCTGTTTTGGGAAAGTTGTTATAGTTAGGCTCGGATATGTCTAAATTTATGTTTGCTTCGCCGACTGCCCTTTTTCTCAGCTGGTCTATGTGGCGCTTCCAGAGTCTGTCTACCCCAACGTCTACCGTATAAGATTTCGGGCCCGTTATGCCCACTATGGTTCCTGCAACCCATAGAGGTCCGCTGGCATAGTTGTGAGCGAACACCGGGGACCCAACCTGAAACTGTCTTAGGCCGGAGGTCTCTCCCTTGAAATTTTCGTGCGAATAGTTGGGGTGAAGCCTATCTAACACGCACCAGAGCTTCCTGCCCATGAGGAGCTCTGCTGGGCTTCTCCCTGTGGCTGTGCATGGTGTGGCATGCTGGACAGCTAAGAATTGATCTATCCTGGCCTGCCAGTCCCCGTTATCTAGTCTGGATAGGGCCTCTTTGCCCGTTCTTACAAAACGTTCGGCCAATCCGTTAGAAGCCGGGTGGAACGGGGCCGATAGGGCATGGCGGATGCCCAGTCCGGCCAAGTATCCCTCGAACAGGGTTGCTGTGAACTGAGGGCCGTTGTCAGATACTAGGGTGTCCGGTAGGCCATGTGTGGCGAACAGCTTGCGAAGGGCTTTAATAACAGCCTCGGCTGTGGTAGAGGGCATTAGAATGATTTCGAGCCATTTTGAAAAGGCATCTACTACAATTAAAAAGGTTTGCCCATGGAAGGGGCCAGAAAAATCAATATGGATCCTCCCCCATGGCCCTTTTGGTTTCTCCCACTCTCGGATGGGCGCTACCGGGGGATCGGGGCGAGACTCCTGGCAGGGTCTGCACTTCCCCACCCACTCAGAGATAACTTGGTCCATGTTGGGCCACCATACGTAACTGCGGGCTAAACTTTTCATTCTGACAATGCCCGGATGCCCTTCGTGCAACAATTCTAAGACCCTCGTTCGTAGTTTTGTTGGCACTACCACCCGATCACCCCACAACAAACAACCACCTTGCGTAAACAGTTCGTTTCGTTTGTTTACAAAACCTTGATAGTCCCCCCCGTCCACCTTGACTGGCCACCCTTTTAGCACCCACCCCATCACAGTACGAATGATCGGGTCCCTGGCAGAGGCTTTAGCCACTTCGGCAGAGGAAATAGGTCCCAAAGTTAATGTGTCCAGTAGAAGGACGGAGGCCTCAGGTGTTGGATTGGTCAGTAAGTCAGGTAGGGGACAGCGGCTGAGGGCATCCGCGTGACCCAGGGTCCGTCCAGGTCGATGTACAAGCTGGTATGAATAGGCCGAAAGAAAAATTGCCCATCTAGTCAAGCGTGGGGACAGAGCAGCGGGGGTGGGCCTGTCGCCTGCCAAAAGTCCTAGCAAGGGCCGGTGATCAGTCACAAGTTTGAATTGCCGGCCAAAGAGATATTCGTGGAACTTTTTAACCCCTGCAATTGCAGCCAGAGCCTCTCTGTCCAATTGGCTATAGTTTCGCTCTGCGCTTGACAGGGTGCGAGAGTAAAACGCAATGGGCGCCTCTAGGCCATTCGGAAGTCTATGGCCCAGGACGGCACCAACTCCTACGGGGGAGGCGTCACACACCAATACAAGCGGTAGCGCTGCGTTGTATTGGATTAGGAAACTGTCTTCTGATAGAAGTCTCTTAACTGCCTCAAAAGCGGCTGCTTGTGGTTTCCCCCAGACCCATGGTACATTCTTCCCCAATAGTTTGTGTAGGGGATCTGCGACGGTAGCTTTGTCTTTCAGGAACATTGAGTAAAAATTGAGCAGTCCAAGGAAGGCTTGGAGCTCAGCTTTGGTCTTGGGGGCAGGTGCGCTCTTAATTGCTCTCACCTTGCTTTCGGTAGGGTGGATGCCTGTGCCGTCCACCCTGTACCCCAAAAATTCAACGGAGGGGACAGCGATCATACATTTATTTTTCTTTAACCGTAGTCCCGCTTCCCTAAATCTAGAAAGGACGTTCCTTACTCTGTCCCCTAACTGACGTTCGTCCTGAGCGCTGACTAGAACGTCATCGAAATAGGGCACCACTCCGGGAAGCCCTTGTAGAAGGCGCTCCATGGTGCTTTGAAACAGGCCGGGTGCGACGCTCACCCCGAACTGGAGCCTGGTGCATTTGAATGCACCCCTATGAGTAACAATCGTTTGTGCCTCTGCCGTGGCATCATCAACTGGTAATTGTTGATAGGCCTGAGCCAGGTCTAATTTGGCAAAAAATTTTCCGGGCCCCAGGGAGTGTAGTAGATGATGCACGATCGGCACCGGATAGGCGCTCGGCTGCAAAGCCTTGTTGATCGTGCACTTGTAGTCGGCGCAGATTCTAATCGAGCCGTCAGACTTTACTGGGGTCACTATAGGGGTTTCCCACTTTGCATGGTCAACGGGAACCAACACCCCTTGTTTAATCAGTTTGTCCAGTTCTGCATCGATCTTTGGTTTCAATGCGAAAGGCACCCGTCTGGCCTTGAGTCTTATTTGGGCTACGTTGGGGTCTAAATTAAGGGAGATAGGGGTCCCCACATACTTGCCCAACGTGTCCCCGAAAACGTCCTGGAACTCGGTCAGGAGACTGTCTTTTAACGATGACTTGAGCATCTGGTGGACGCCAGTGAAGCCCATGCCGAGGGCTCGGAACCACCCCATGCCGAGAAGGCTGGGAAGCTGCTTCGTGACGATGGTCAGTGGCAGGTCTCTTTCGTAGTCTCCGTAGGTGACTCGGAACGTGCCCACGCCTTCGAGGGGGACTCGGTTCCCCTGGTAGTCTAGGATGCGCAGTCTCTGTTTGGAGAGCTGGTCCTTCCGGAACGACGGCAGGAGGGTCTTTAGGGTCGCCCAAGACATTATGGAGAGAGCTGATCCGGTGTCGATCTCCATTGAGCATGGCTTGCCGTTGATTTCGACCACCGTGCTGACTTTGTCCTCGATTTCCGCGCTGGCCTGGTCTATGTGAATGCTGCGGCCATCTCGAGGTTCAAATTCGCGCCGTTTTTTCGCGCCGCCTTCTCTCGTTGGTTGTTTCTGGCGCGTTGATTCTGGTTGGCTGTGGCGCTCACGTGGTTGGTGTTTTCTGGGCAGAATGGCTCTACAGACTCGCGCCAAGTGCCCTTTTTTCTCGCAACGCCTGCAAATAGCCTCCCTATATTTGCAGGACAGTCTGTCATGGTGCCCTCCACAGCTGGGACAGCTTCGCCGGGGGCTGCCAGTGACCTTTCTCTGGTGCTCCGTTCGGAAGACGTCTTCATCCGACTCGGACTCCGAGCTGGATTCGGCGTCTTCTCTGTGCACCGGGGCAGACTTGGGGTTGTCTTTGCTGGTCAGCGGATGCTGCAGCGTTTCTGCGGCTTTTGTGGAGGCTTCATGAGCCCTGGCCTCGTCTAGGGCTCCAGCAAGCGTTAAATCAGGCTTGGCGAGCAGGCGCCGTTGCAGCCTAATGTCCCGGACACCACAGATGAGTTGCTCAAGCAACGCATCGTCCAAGTCTCTATAGTCGCAATGGGTTGCGGCTTTTCTCAGGCTGGCCATGTATGCGCTGACCGGTTCTCCCTCTCGCTGTACGCGCTGTCTGAGTTGGTACCGTTGCACGAACTTGGAGGGCACGGGAGCGTAGTGAGCCCGGAGCGTGGCCATCAGGGTGTCCCAGGAAACGGTCTGGACTGGCGTTGGCTCGCACAGCGACTCTGCCATCTCGAACACGTCCAGTCCACAGTGGCTTAGGAAGAGGGCCCTCTTCCAATTAGCGGAGAGCCCCTGCATGTCGCTGGCTTCGAGCGAGCATTCGAACCTCGTCAGGTACGAGACCCATTTTTTGCGGGTCGGATCAAAAGGCTTGGGCGGAACGTAGGCAGACATGTTCGGTATGCCTCCTGTGGTTCGCCTCGTCGCCTAGCTGAAGCTCGTGGTCTCACTGGTTCGCTTGTTGTGACCTCAATCCCACCTTCGTCGCCAATGAAGTGGTTCGGGAATAACGAGAGACACAACCAAGCAAGTGACAACAGCTCTTTAATTTACAGTGAGACTTCAGCAAAAACTCAGAGGCTGCAGCCCTCCTTATATACAATCCTGGAGGGACTGTCAGCCAATCAGAAACGTAGGCAGGTTTGAAACTCCCGCTCAAAAGTATCAATACATAACAAGTGCCACACATGTGTTTTGTGCAGATACATTCAAAGGGAGCCTGACTCTCTGCTGATATAATCTAATTGTCAGGTTTCTTCTGGTTTATCAAAGACTCTTATTGAATGCACTCCATTGCTTGCACCAAAACAGAATTGATAATGGGGGTCACTTTTTGATATAGATTTAGCACTAGGCTTCAGGTATGCGAAGCCATAATCAAAAATAATCTGACTGATAGCTAACAGATGTGGACAGAGTTATGAGGGAGAAATCTCCCTTTCCCTTGTTTCACTGGGAGCTCCCTGCCGCCACTGCTGCTCAGCTGCTGCTCAGGCGGGTCCAGATATCTGAGCCAAGCTCTGGTTAAGAGACCTGGTTGGGATAAGGAGCGAGGTGAATTAGGATGAGCCAGGCTCCCTGCTGCAGAATAAACCCGGAAGAGCCCAAGTGCTATGAAAGAACAGATTTCTAGAGATTAGCAGATTGTAACATCAAATGGCTGCCAAAGCATTTTGGATTGCACTCAGTTAAACTGATTGTACCAATCAGTTCTCCTTGTCTTCTTGTCCCTCCAATATCTCATAAGAAACCTAGTGATTCCTAATGCACTCCCAAGAGACAAGATAAATGAGGACATGCAAGTCCTTTGGAAGAGGTGCTTCGCAGTCCACAGGCACAAGTATGAAAATCTTTCTTAAGCCAGCTACATCTTTTTCTTGGCTCATGTGCCTGCTTCTTGGCACTTTCTGCAAGTTTATGCACACTTTTTTCCTTATCAGAGCTGGTTTAGTAATAGTAACAGAGTTGGAAGGGATCTTGGAGGTCATCTAGTCTAATCCCCTGCTCACGCAGGAGATCTGTACTAGGGATTTGAACCGCTGAACTGCTGACCTTTTTGATCGACAAGCTCAGTGTCTTAGCCACTTAGCCACCTAGTCAGGCTTATTCTTCTGAAGAGCGCTATTTCATGCACACTTCTGCTCAGCTAAAAGAAACATTTCTAACAAGATTTGCAGACCCCTAGAAACTCTTTTGCCTTGTACTCCCAACTGTATCTTACAGAAATGGAAACTAGAATGCTCCATCCACTGTTTTGTACAATAATAAATTTTTCAAGATAAAAATTGAAGAAAAGTTTACAATACAAACTAAAGTTGAGGGATTGATATTCCTTCTGTCTTGCAAAGAAAGCTCTGGGAATATGAATTGCTCCCACATCGTGTGCTTTCCTCCTCTTTCCTTTCTGTTTTGCAGTGAATGATGCATTGGGCTTTCTTTTTTGATAAAAAATTATCTTTCTTCTTTTATGCATCTTCAGTTGTTCTGCTCTTCTTGGATTGCCTTCTCTTGCATACTTTGTCTTTGTTTTTTTAACCTGGGTAGTTGTTGCCCTCTAGTTCTGCCTTAGGCACTGTACTGTTATTTGAATCTCTAACATAAAATATTTGATCCTTGCTAGAAAGCAAGAATATCCTTTACAAGTAATCATTGATTTATCCTAAGTAATATAAAATGTATTTACAAGTAATCAGTGAATTAGAATTCATTAACATCGCAATAAGTAAACATGGTCTTTAATGAGAATTTGAGGACAAAAATGAGAATTTAGCTCATTCCATAATAAATAATGAACGTCAGTATTATTTTCAGAGCAAACAATTAAGTGTTGTTACGAATGCACATATCTGTAAAAGAGATCTGTAAAACTGATTTTTAAATTCTCTTGCGTTACATACTGTGTATATTATTCCATAGTATGAATAGATTGTAGAGTTGATCAAGCTGTTTTGTAGTGTCCGTCTGCTTCCTTAGTATTGTAGCCTGTTTTACTGGGGTTTTTTGGTGAGCTTCAATGAAAATGTAGATTCATTACCATTCATTACCAGAAATATTCAAGAGCTCAAAATCTATT